CTAAGGTTATATCCTAGACTACACTTCAGTCAGATTTGATCAGACATCAAGGCCTTCGTTTTCAAACCCATCTTCAGTCACACAGATTTGGGAAAATTAGAAGATGTAACTTTAGAATAAACTATGCAAAACTCCTGATAATCAGTGTCCTATTGGAGCATATTATTTTTTTACTTTAAAGGAAACTTTCTTTGGATTAAAAATCTCAAAGTGGAACGTTTGAAGTAGAAGCACACATCTTGGCTTTGTGTTCAGCGTGTGAAAACACTGAGACACAGGTCAGAAACGAGCATGACGGGATACTAAAGCCACTGAACATGGCTGTGTCTCATCAATGCTGCCGTGGATAAAAAGAGGATTGATCTCTGTGTACATAATGAAGAGGAGGTGTATTTTGAGGGCAAACCTTGTATACATGTCGATTGTGATTGTCTCGCCTTGTACCTTCTGGTGTAAAACTGTTTTCAAACCTAGATGACGGCAAACATCACAGGTTAATTTTGTCTAATTATTCTGGTCACTTTCAGGGCAGCTGAAGGAGGATTATTTTTGTTTTTGTGCATTTTGATTTAATGACAGATCCAGATAGGGAGGTACAATGGTGGTATTTAAATGAAAAATGATTCTAGTAACTATTTCCTGTACATAAGTCTTGATTGTGTTAGCATGGGTATAAACTGTGACGTGTACGACCGTAGATGTAAATACTCACATTTTTCCTACTCACTAAACAAACTGCTGTGTTGTGGATTTATGATTAATTACAAATATTAAACGTTTGACTCAGACCGGGTCAGTCTGTTTTCTGTTTGCGTGAGTTAAAGTTAAAGCCTTTGGTTGATTGTGTGGAGATTTCTGATACAAATATTCCACCATTCACACAAATCGTCCTACAAAATGACAGATTAATCTGAAACCAGAGACTTTTAAAATTAAATGTGTACTCAGATGTCGATAACCAAAGAAACAAATGATGATTACACAACTTTGATATAAACAATTTATTTGATATTCAATTTGTTTTTACATGTATAGAGTGAAAAATAGAAAGAGCTTTATTGTTCTGGAAAAACATGAAATGGGAGAGTATTAGTGGAGGACGTTTTTGCAGGTCAACAGAAAAGCAGCACTGAAAAATAAAAGCTGCTGTGATCACTGATCTGTGCTGGTCCGCTATCAGGCACCAGAAAATTCAGCCTTAAACCTGTAACAGCGGGCCTGAATGGGTCGAGAAGGCTTTAACGTCACAAAACTTCCTTGATTAAAAAGTTCAGAAGCACCAAATCCTTTCAAATGGCCATTTTGTTTGATCTAAATCAGAGGTGGGCTTTTCCAAGCCTTAATGGCCACTTCATTTTAGGATCCTTTAACCTGAGGGATGGTGTGGTTAAACCACATCCTCTCTGTTGGTTTAGTGGATGGTTTAGGGTCCATCTGATATGGAAAAAAAAAAGTTCATACAAAAGCAGGTTTTGTGAAACATTTTTTAAGATGTTTCTGCGTCTGTGTGACAGGTTGATACCGGATCATCATCCAGATATCTGTCTGGTTTCAGCCTCTCAATCAAAAAATAATCATTCCCTCACTAGCTGTGAGGTCAGACAAAGTCAGCAGACAGAGAAAGAAGAGAGGAACAAACTCCATGTCGTCTGAGGATAAAACGGTATTGAAATCCTCCATAGATGTTCTCAGCTCCTCTCAGACAGAACCAGAGTAGGAAAAGACTTTCTGTGTCCCAGCATGCAGGGAAACTACCGGAAGATAATCGTAAAAACAAAACCTAAACAATAAGAACAAAACCGTTACACTACCGCCTAGCAGGAGGTTTCTGTGAACACTTCAGCGTTCAGCGTAAGGACAGCGTCTGCTGGTGTTTTAGGCCCAACGTAATGATGAACTGAAACTTCATTTTGCACAAATCCTGCCAAAATGAATCAACTATTTTCGTATAAAGTCAGCTCTCTGAAAAACTGGAAATATATCATTTGTATGCTTTTTTCTTTTTATATTTGTTATCATTATTCTGTAGGCAGAGCTCAAAGTGACAATATTATAAGATCAACTGTTAACATATCTGAATTCAAATGGGTAATTTCATTTTCCACAATTATGTTTTATAGTGATGAAAATTAAATATCAACTGAGCACTTGCAGAACATTCTTAAATCCCTCTGGATGTTTGTATTGCAGACTTCCCAAAAATTCTAATCACGAAACTTTGAATTTGAATTGTCAATTTGAGTTGTCTTTAAAGTAAAGTCCTTTTCAAGGCCAGTTTCAAGGGGGGACTTAGACTGAAGTATGAAATGGTTTTGAACACTAGAGGGCAGCACAACACTGAAAATCACAACATAACCAAACTTAACTATAAGGTTATTACCGGTAATCGTAATTTTTTCATCGAATCATATTTTAAGGTTTAATATTACAGATAAATATTAGTTTTTTTTATTTTTATTACAGAACGGTAAAAAGGAAAAGCTTTAATAAAGAATGGTTATAAACGGGCTCAAAGACCCAGGAAAAAGCTGCAACATGACCCAGAGATCAAGCTTCTAATAATGTGCACGTACATAGTTTGTTTAATAAAAAAGCAAGATAAAGATATTTGAATGGTTTGTGTTTATTCAAAATATTTAAACAGAAATGACTGAGTACTGTCTGAAATGGTCAAAGAGGAAAAGCTACCAGAATATCACAAATGAAAAAGTGTGACATGTTTATTTTGCAAATTAAATCATTTAAGGCCCATTTAGTGACTTTAGCTTTTTCAGAAATATGTAACTCAGACTTTAACAGCAAGGTGAAAAAGGATACAAAATTTTTATACCAAAGACAAAAAATACCTTTCATTCAGCATGAAAAGTCATTAATGAAGAACAAAGGAGCAGCTCTGAATATCAGGAGAATCCTGAAGCTCACTTCAGCTCAGAGACTATTTAAAGGTTGTTTAGAGTGCTGATCAAATGTTTGCTCTATGTTACAGGAGGCATTTGTTAGTCCTTGTTGGTCTGAGAAAAGGAAAAAGTGAATATCAATATATATAACAATTAGCAATACATTGAATATGAGATAAATGTAACTGGCATGAATGCATGTTTTAAACTTACCATTGTCACACCTTAGTGTGATCACACCCTTTACAAGAAGCACGATGAAAACAACAACAGCTCCAACAAAAAGAACACTGATAACAGCAGCTACAATCCATCCAGTGGGGGACTCTGAGGGGGGCTCTGGAACAGATCATAAAAAGCTGATGTTAGACTCAGGAAGTAACTGGATGAGACACACAGCAGATTCA